AATCTGCTCTCTGATAAACAGAAAGCGGGAAAATATAAACAGGGGGTGAATAATTCTGACTTCAGCTGTAAGTTGTAAAATGTATTTAGATAAAGCTCACGCAGCACTAATAATGTGATGGCATGAGTTTGGCCATGGACAGAAAGAAGACGACTAACCCATATTCAACTGTACAGATATTTGTTCAACTCATTTCCATGACTTTCCCAAAACTTTGTGGGTTTTTCAGATTTTCAAAAATTTGTCCAGGCCTGGAAAATGCCATGTCAAATCCCCAAGACTTTTCAGGTAAAAGCTTGGAAGCTCTCTCATGCATATTAATGAAGCTGCACCGCATACACAACAGAGCGCGCTGATTGGCTTGAACAAGTCTTTCTCATGAGTTAATGCAGCACACTCAGAGACGTCACGATGCACTCGCCAGTACAGACATCCGGTCTCCACGCTGGAATACACACGAGGATCTAATCCGTGATGCAGCTTCAACATTTATTTTCAAACCGGAAGAACAAATTAGCTGGAAATAACGCTAAAACAACCAATGTTCCCTAGTTAGTGAGATAGATGAGTGCTCATAGTGTGTACAGCAGTGCGGGACACAAACATGACTGTCAACAGCTCAACACATGTGCTCTGATGTTTCCTGACCCTCTAAACATTTATTCACACAAACACAACACAGACACACACGCACACACACACACACTACCTCTTCTCTGAACTGCTTGGCCTGTTCCTCACATCCGGGTAAAGAATGGATGAAATCAGCCACCTGAAACGCACGCGCACACACATACACACACACACACACATTATATATACAGTATAATCTAATTTAAAAGTGTAAATAAAGTGTAAGAAATGACTGTTTTCACTGTATTTTGATCAAACTAATGTAGAATTTATTGATTATATTCGTGTTAAAAAGCCGTCTTAAAGAGTGTGAGAAATTCAACGTGTGCCAGTGTGTGTGTGTGTGTGTGTGTGAGTGTATGATGTCTGTGTGTGATGTCAGTGTCTGTGATGTGTCGGTCAGCATGTGTCAGAGTGGGTGTATGTTAGTGGGTGTATGTGTGTGTGTGTGTGTGTGTGTGTGTGTGTGTGTGTGTGTGTGTGTGTGTGTCTGCATGCGCATGATGTGTGTGTCTCATGCAGTAACAGATGATGATGGTCTCTCAGTGTGTGTGTGTGTGTGTGTGTGTGTGTGCTCTGCAGGTCATCAGAGTGTTTTTGAGCACAGTTTTCAGCTCTTCTGCAGTGTCAGCAGTGCATTATTCTCCTGCAGTGTTTACAGAGAAACACACACACACACACACACTCTGAGCTGTCGGACAGAAACACTGAGGGAAATCCAGAAACACACCAGCTAAGAATAACCCGAGCGGAGACTGAAGAACAGCAGCGACAGATCCACAAGAGGAGGAACACTTACACTACACAACTAGAGGAAGAGCGTCACACACACACACTCACATGCATACACGCATGAATGCACAGGTTTCCTGCATCCGTCAGGCCTGTGTGTTCCTGCAAATGAAGATGTGTGTGAGTCTGTAATAAGTGTGCGCAGAATTCATTAAGCTGTGATTCTGCAGGGACGCTGGAGTGATTACTGTATACACACACACACACACACACACGCACACACACTCTCTCTCTATATTAGCATCAGAGTGTTCTAGAAGAGCTGGAGGAGAAACACTGGATCTATATTCTGCCTGGATCGATGCGGCTTTCATACAGCACAGGAACAGAACACACACACACACGCACACGCACACGCGCACACACACACACAATCACACATCATTACACACTGAGAATGACCAGTGTTAGCTGTAGGTCACTGGGCGTTGCTGTGTCTTTCAATATGTTGCCAAGTGGTTGCTATGGAATTCTTAACAGCTTTCAGCATGTTGCTAAATGGTTGCCATGGTATTGTTTGAAGCTTTGGTTGCTATTTGGTTGCCATGGTATTCTGAGAGGCTTTCTGTATGTTGCCATGTGGTGGCTAGGGTGTTCTGATAGGCTTTCATTACGTTGATATTTGGTTGCCATGGTATTCTTAGAAGCTTTCAGCATGTTGCAATTTGGTTGCTATGGAATTCTTAGAGGCTTTATGTATGTTGCCATGTGGTTGCTAGAGTGTTCTGATAGGCTTTCAGTATGTTTATATTTGGTTACCATGGCATTCTTAGAAGCTGTCAGCATGTTGCCATGTTGTTGCTATGGTGTTCTAAGAAGCTTTAATTGTGTTATAATTTGGTTGCCATGAAGCTTTCAGTATGTTGCATTTTGGTTGCTATGGCATACTGGGAGGCTTTCTGTATGTTGCCATGTGGTTGCTAGGGTGTTCTGGTAGGCTTTCACTACGTTGATATTTGGTTTCCATGGAATTCCGAGAAACTTTAAGTGTGTTATATTTGGTTGCCATGGTGTTTGTAGAAGCTTTCAGCATGTTGTGGTTTTGTTGTCAGGGTATGACATTTGGTTGCCATGGTGTTTGTAGAAGCTTTCAGCATGTTGCAATTAGGTTGCCATGGCATTCTGAGAAGCTTTCAGTACAATGTCATTGTGTTGCTAAGGCGTTCTAAATGAACAGGACTCTCGTGAAGTCAATAAGATTCAATTCCACCAACTGAAGCTGAATCAGACACTTCACCCCTCTGGAAATGAATGATCCCTCTGCACTTGACCTTGTAGGTGTCATTAATAATCGGATTGTAGTGATGTAAACACTGGCCATTATTCTCCATAAACACACAGCACTGACGCCTTCAATCGCGACTCAAATCCTCATAAACAAACAGGCCTTCAGCGTGGGCGCTTGCTGATGAATAACAGCGTGTAAATCCTGTTAATACACCAGCGTAAAGTGCTGAGCGCCGCTTTCTCCTCAGCTGAGTAAAACAGGGTAAAGTGCAGTAAAGTGCTTTCACTCACTCACACACACACACCGCTCTGAACACGCTGTACTGCCGTAAGATGCTTACTTAAAAGCAATACAGGATATTAGCACTTATACGACTTTAAAAAGATCAAATATAAAAATATAACAGTGGTTACTCATGCGCTTTTCTAAAATACAAGAGACATCATCTGCTCCTCTACTGTGGAAATGATATGCTAGTATAACCTAATATATCTGATATGGTAATGTTTACCTAATATATTGCATGTACATTTTCAGAGTAAAATGCTTCAACTAAATTAAACTGCATTTAAAATTTACTAAATTAAAACGGATTATAAAGTTGAATAGGAAACAAGTCTTATTAACACTTACACAGTCTCATTAGTAAATGCTAGTTAATGCATTCAAATCGACTAAGAAAAGGCAGATTTATAACTGTTACTATATTAATATTACATTACAAACGCAACTGAATGTGATCAGTTATTGACCCTATTTAATAAATCATTTAAATGAATAATATAGATTAGTATTAGATTATTAACTGAGAAATGAACAAACTAAACTTATAAAAGCTTTCTCAGTTTAATTAATAACTGTTAACTCGTGTAATGTACAATAGCACTATAAATACAGACATCAATACATCAATATTTCAGACGCGCTGTATGCCAAATGTGAAATGTCAGAATCTGTGCGAGTGTATGCTGCAAATGAAGATTCCCTACGCTACGGGGACAAAACATTAACTAACTATTATGAACACCACGGCAAACACAATCTGAATATTAAATAAGCACTCTACAAACGTAAACATTCAATAACTATTCACATTAATTTGAAGTTAACACAATATCAATACTGCGCAGGTTCATTTTCATGATATATTGAATATCAGCGTGTGTCCATCATCCATCTCAAACCCCTCTGTCAGCAGCTGACCCGTTTACCGCTGGGCCCTCGAGATCCTGCGCAGCTGATATTTACACAGGTTTACACTGTGGTAGTGTGTGTGTTTATCTCTGCGCTCTGTTCATCCTCATGTCTCGGGGTCAGAGTTTCAGCCGCACCTGGTTACCGTGACAACAGCGAAAGAGGCTCAGTTTCACCTCCGCAGGCCGACATTAGCATGACAAACACCGACGGCGACTGAACACTGGAGCTCATGCAGACACTACAGTCTGCTTATACTCTCAGCCAATCACATGACCAACAGCAGCCGCGCTCTCATTGGCTGATGCACATCACATCATTAGAATAAAAGCTGCTCAAATGAAACTACACTGCAAAACATGCTTGTCTTACTTACATTTAGTGTCTGCTTCTAGTCTACATATGGGAAAACTCTTTAATCAAGAAACATTTCCTTTTTAAAATATCGTGCTGGTTTAAGAAATAATGAGTTAAAATAAAGAGAGTTTCCCACTAAAACAAGCAGAATAATCTGACCACCAACTTATCCATTATATGTTTTACACAGCGGATGCCCTTCCAACCGCAACCTAGTAGTGGGAAACACCCAAATACACTCATACACTACAGCCAGTGTAGTTGATCAGTTCTCCTATAGCGCATGTGTTTGGATTGTGGGGGAAACCAGAGCAAACCCACGCCAACACAGGGAGAACATGCAAACTCCACACAGAAACACCAACTGACCCAGCCGAGACTCAAACCAGAGACTTTCTTGCTGTAAGGTAACAGCACTAACCATTGAGCCACCATTCCGCTCAGGGACGGAGTGAGACTTCTTTTCAGCCCTGGAGTTTCAAGCCTCAGACCGGCCCACCTCAGTTCACGACTGACTATATTAAAATAAGGTTATTTCCAATTCAGTTTCTAATTACACTACCATGTCTTTTTTTGGAGAAAACAGCTGCTTTAGAACTTCAAATGTTCAACAACCCTAACAGTATTATATGTCTTAACAATAAAAGTGAAAAAAAATTACTCAGATGAGGATCAAACCCGGGTCGGTGGCATCGTAACCTAATGTGCTAACCACTCGACCACAGCAGCTGTACACTGAAAGGTGACTCATCTGAGTTATATCATCATTAACCTGCAGGCTGCATCTGCTCACGAGGCTGCGAGAAAATAGATAAAAAGAGCAGAGCTGTAAAATAATGAATAAGAAGACTGTGGTCAAGTAAATAAATACATTCATTTAAAAAGTCTGACTGCTGAGAGCAACAGATTCTGGAGCTAGGGACACCGGCCCTCGCGGCCAAAAAACAGACCGGCCCACCGGGAATTCTCCCGGTCCTCCCGATTAGCCAATCCCGGCCTGGTGCCGCTAATAAAATGATTTCAGAGTGAAAACTAGATTATTAAGCTTGCTGTTGAACTCACAGTGCTTTATCAGAAGCATTTCATTGACAGTTTTTCAATTTTTATAGAACTTAAGCTAATTTCCAGTTTATCATAATCACATTAACCAAGGCTGTGCAGATTAACTGAAAATCAGTTTCAATTTTGGATTATGAAAAACAATAATCAGTGTTCATTAATTCATTCATTCATTCATCTCCTGCCGCTTTTCCGGGGCCGGGTCGCGGGGGCAGCAGTCTTAGGACAGAACCCCAGACTTCCCTCTCTCCAGACACTTCCTCCAGCTCCTCCGGGGGGATCCCGAGGCGTTTCCAGGCCAGCCGAGAGACATAGTCCCTCCAGCGTCTCCTGGGTCTTCCCCGAGGCCTCCTCCCGGTGGGAAACGCCTGGAACAGCTCCCTAGGTAGGCGTCCAGGAGGCATCCAAAACAGATGCCCGAGCCACCTCAGCTGACTTCTCTGGATGTGGAGGAGCAGCGGCTCTACTCTGAGCTGCTCCTGAGTGTCAGAGCTCCTCACAATTTCCATAAGAGTGCGCCCTGCAACCCTGTGAAGGAAACTCAATTTGGCCGCTTGTATCCGAGATCTTGTCCTTTCAGTCATGACCCAAAGCTCATGATCATAGGTGAGAGCAGGAATGTAGATTGACCGGTAAATCGAGAGCTTTGCCTTTCAGCTCAGCTCAGCTCATCTTTACCACAGTGAACCGGTACATCAACCGCATTACTGCTGCCGCTGCACCGATCCGCCTGTCAATC